CGAAAATATTTGACTGTTAATTTTGAATACTTTGAATGCTACTCTCAGCTTCTATCTATTTGTGATGTTGCCCTATCTTTATCTAGTGCCACTGATGATATTTATCTCACAGTTGAGACAATTGAATTATACTGGTCTCAGCTTTTTTACGATTTTTGAAGATCTATCTGTAAGTTGGTTACTAATGATTTTTCTAAAACTGCTAGCAATTTTATGGTTTATCATTCTTATTGCTTAGATAAGCGGCTTGGAAGTTCAGCTTTTCAATAATGTCTAATTTGACTCCGATTTATTATGAAAACTAACTTCTATATATTTAGAATGCTAATCGATCACATATTTGAACATACGTATATAGTTAGACAAGACTACTCGAACGGTATTCATGGACAACATTATCTTAATTTTCGGAGAATAATTCCTGTTGAAAATTGACTTCGGTGTCTTTCTTATCTGTGATATTATTGAATGCATACTCTTGTGTGGAAATCGACCCAAGGATCTTTATGTTTTGTAGCCAGTATTTTACTATGTGCTCACTGGTGATTAGCTTTGAGATGGATTACCTGAAGTTCTAATGAAAAGCTGTAGCCTGTCGAGTCAGTCATGTCAGTACTAAGGCAGTCACTTACCGATAAGATTGGATAAGGATCGCAGGTTGAGTATATCTGAGCATACAGACCACTGAAGTTCAAATCAATGGCTCTAAACTATAGTGCTTTCCATAAGGTTTGATGGTTCTAGTTTCAATAAGCACTACAAGACAGTCTCAAACTTACATCGTTCTGTGATAAAAATTTCCTCAACAAGACTATCACACTAAATAAATTTTGTTTGTTCATTATTAGTGTCTGATATATTATACGTGTTTGTCCATCTATTAGATTGTTAACAGTAAGTTTGAGTCCAGAAAAGAATATATACGTTATACGATATTTCACACTTGATTCTAAAGATTTCTTTTCCAACAACCCAAACAATATGGACATTATTTACTCATATTTTCTGTTGTTCTGTCAATGAGTATTTCTCACTAAATTAATGGCGTGTTACTGTTTTTAAGCACATTTTCAATTCTTTCATATTAGAAAATTACTTAGTAGAGTATGTGTAATAATATAAATTAGTTTGTGTGTGTCTATATGTACCACACATAGTAATCTCTTCATTCAATCAGTCAATATTCGTATATTAATAGGTCTTTACTTTTTAATAAACGTATTGTGCGTGAACACAATTTGTTACAATACTAATAAAGTCTTTGGCGTGTGCCTAAGATTATTAATTGTTTGCCAGTATTTTGAATATGGTAATAGACTCAAAACATTTTTTTCTTAAATCATACCAAAAGTTTAACAGATCAGTTTAAACAAGCAATAGTTTTAAGCATTAAATTATCTATATTTTTAGAAATTCATCTTTTAGAAACTTTGTTGAATGTAAAGCACATTTTGAAGGATAATATTTGTATGTATCTTAGATTGTAGTTCTTCATAAGAGCAAAGAACTATTTTAGCACTAGAAAGGGTTGATATTAAGTATTGAAGAAATAATAGGGTGTAACAAAGGAAATGTAACGTGAACGAGGTAATCTTGAGTGAAGTTAGAGGTATGTTGATGGCTGTTGCTTCTCGATCAGCCACATTATTAAAGGATACTCCTGCTTGAATTACCTAAAAAGAAAATTGTGTTAGGAGTACTAGTCTTAACCACCTAGAAGTTTGAACTCCAAGCCGAAGGGACACCTGTCACTCAGCCTTTTATCTAGTAGTTCTTGATATGCTGAGTTTGTACTTCAAAGGCCTCACCTCCGGCGGCGGAATTCCGTGGGCCAGGGTGAGATTTGATATTTTGAGAAGGCGACATCAATACAGATACCATTTATCCTATTGAAGTACCTTTGTGACGTTACAGCCCCATGACAGTCAGCAGTACGAATTCCCCTCCATACATTAAGTTGCTGCTTTTAGTCCTATCACTCTCCAACTGATCTGCCTGGTTCGATAGAATCTAAATCAACAAGTGTCCCTGCCAATATAGCTCAAATAGACCACCACGAGAAGCAACCTTGACCCCCGTGCTAAAGTAGCAACTGTACTCCGGATCACAGTGGAAGATGTTTCTGTTGAACTATTTTGACTGAAATTAACTTCCAACATAAATGAATTTTTAGTAACCACCTAATTCATCCAAATTTCGGCTGTGGTTCAAGTTTAATTTATCATACAGGCGTATGTTTTGCTTGCTCACACCATACTAGAAATTCGTATATGAATTACCATGTTTAACCAATTGGTCATTTTTTTAATAAAATTGTTGCACCATAGGTTCATGATTACTTTGAGGTCTGTTCACTGGTTGTACCATTGTAGCTTTAGTTTGTAGTGTGGCGTCGATCACCACTACAGGAAAGTTGCGTGCCAAAATATCAGAAGGCAATTGAAGGTTGTAGAGATATGTATTTGTTGGTGATCTCGTAGTATCGAAAGAATACCGAGATCGTACCAGAGGAGTACAAGCGAATTTACTGAGCAAACGTAAGTTCGTGCAAGGTCACAATCAACGGAAGAAAGAATGGAAGAATAATGGATGTCTTTAGTACAGCTAAAAAAAAACAAGCACAGTAAAACAATCACTGGTACGATTGGTTATAATAATAATTGTTTCCATTAAACCAATCGCGTTCTCTTGATAAAAGTAGGTCACTACAAGTTCATTGTCGATTTTGAAAAAGATTTCTTCCACTTAATAATTCTCTAAATTTATGGATTTTGAAAGTTTATCCTTTATAATAAGATGATTTTTATTTGTTTGAATATTCTGCATAAGTCAGTTCACTTGGAAGACAGTCTTCACCACGTAATTCCATCACTTTTAAGATCAATGTAAATTAAATAGTATAAAACCAACCACTTATTTTTAGCCTATGACTCAGTAGTACGTAGCTACAATTTTAGGACTCCGCATTAAAGGTTTTATCTTTATATCATACAATTTTTCCTACTGATAAATTTGAGTAAAGCAAAAATCACGAACACAGTAGAATAACATGAATGCAGCTTATTTTGTGCTTTCTATTCAGCTGCTTATAACCTAGAATTAATTATACAAATTATTTGCAAAGCAAAATACTGTACATAGTTTATATTATAATAGTATCAGAAATGTCTCTATCGATGAGAATCAATAAGACTGCTATAAACTATAAAACAATTAGAAGAGTTATTAGAGTAGTTAAGTCTTGAAGAATGCTATTAATTCTAAGCTGTGAGTGGTTAAAGTGAAGCCACAAAATAAACTGAGTTCATGTTATTCTGATATGTTTGTTGTTTTTTGATATATTACAATAATCACGCGATTCAGTCTATGAGTAACTGTTCCATACTTATCATAAGTAATCTCTTCTAGTCATGACTTTTCACTAAAATTTTGTGTGGTTAAGTGGTTTAAGAAATTTATTTTTATTTGAAAATACCACTGTTTTCAATAATTCCTCGTCTACAACCAGTTTACAACAAAAATCAACTTCACAAATTGTTTTTTTTGGAAGGGGGGAATTTTAAAAAACTCACAGTTTATATTATCTCACCGACATTGAATAAAGAATAACCAAGAAGCTTGTAAGTATTAAATAAGTCCCAATCTAATACTCATAATTTCTACATATTATCTCTCTTATTTACTAATTACAATTTCAAGTGTCACTTTATAACCACATTATAGTTGTGTGTTGTTCCTTCGAACTCTGTTAATCCATCATGCTTGATGCTCCCAAACCAATTGAAATGAACTATTCAATTTTCATTGTACGTTTCTCTAGTTGCTTGGTTTTTTTTGGAAGAATGGTCAAATTACTATCTTTAATAGTTTTCTCGTTAGTTGGTATTGAAAATTTATTTTTTATCATCACATGAACTCGGAGATTGATCTATTTTCATAGGTTAATAATGTAACTTCAAGTCAGTTGATAGAAAAGTTGTATGTATCATTACTTGTACACATTTAACTTGATGTATGTACTGTCTTATGCATTTTAAAAAGAAATTTCAGAAAATAACTTCCCACTAGTAAAATGAATAACAACAGTGATAAAAAAAAATGTAGAAAAGTTAGCGTAGATCTACATTTCAGTAGTCCTGAACAATCTTTGCTTTTTTCAGATTTAATTGAAACTTACTTTCTAGTGGCTAGGAACTTTTACACTAAGTAACAAAGAAGTAAACTCTGTATGGTTTTAAGTAATTCTTTTTATGTTCCATACAAATGAGAGATACGTTGGGAAAGCCATCGAATGAGTGCTTTTAAAGTTAGGCGTACGGTTATAAAAAAAATCGATTAGTTTGCGGGCTGAACCTTTTGGGATATACATACTAGTCAACTGTCAAAAATAATGCTCGTCACCAATTGACGTCACCTAGTGAAATATTGTGGACCTAGCCTACGGTTATTCATCAGTACATTACCACTACTCCTAAATATGAATGACCCAAGGATATTCAGGGTGTGCAGCAAGTTATTACAATAAAACAAGGTACTTTGCAATATTCTTATTTTCTCGCTGGGTGTTGTTGCAGATTATTTACATTATCGTACATGAACTACTTAAATCTCTGCATATTTCTCATCCTCTCATATTTAAAACTCCATAGTTTACCAGCGTTTTTGTAATATTAAGGCTTGTACAGAGCTGAGACCCTTGTTTAAAAATATATTAAACGTTTCTTCAAGTGATTAATATAGGTGTAACTGATCGATAAGGAAGAAATTATTTGTCTTTAAAAAAGTCCTCATCAATTTTTTTCCTGTTGACAAAATCCACTTTTAGCAAGCTAGTCAATTATCAGGTATAAAGAATATCTCATAATAAATTTTGTTGTTTCTAACCACAAATACTTTGAACGCCTCAAACTAGTTATGATCACTTTCTACGAGTTTTTCAAAGTTGTGGAAAAAATCAAGCTTTTGTTATTTAGTTATCTTTTTTTGTATCTTCTCTCTAGACTGTTATTTTTGATGTACTAATCAACAGCTCAAATGTTCAAGAAGTTGCCTCTTAATTGAAATGAGTGTATTTGAACGTCTTCAACAAAGATTGGCCAAGTGTTCCACATCTTCTCGCGGTCAAGAAACTGCACAGATTTATCATAAAAATAAGTCAACTTCAGAACAAGCTATTTTTTTGGATGGTGTAGTTACAACAACTGATGATCGTTCAACAACAAATACTCTTCCATTATGCCATAATCATTCACAAACTTGGAGTGTTGAATCTCGTATGGCTTCCAAGATAGCTAATAGCTATTCAAACCCATCTCTGCACACAGTTGGAACAGTTAATTCCAAAGGTGAGGCAACTCCGGATACGGAAATTGATGTGCCAAAGTCAAATTTTAGTCACAGTCAAGATCATTTGAATACACCCAGTAATAGTTCATATCAACGTCAACCACAACAACCTAGAAGAAAACGAGCAAAAACCCCGGTTAGTTCTTTCTATCGTGTTAGCAGTGATGATGATTGTGATACATGCGATGAAGATGAAGAAGACGATGTTGACAATAATAATAATAATACTAATAATAATAATGAAGAATACCTGGATCAGTGTGATGATTTAATTATCAAACAATCTGCTGCATTTGAACGTAGATCACAACGTCTACGTCGTAGTATTGACCGGGCTAAAGCAGCTTTACCTGCTGATTTTGCTGATCGTATTGAGATCTCAGATTCACTTGGTGATTTACCTAATCAAGAATCGTCTAGTGGGGCACAACTTCAAAAACATCATCGGAGTGTTAGCAATCTTGGTGTAGATTTAACTGATCAATTAAGCAATCGTGATTCAGATTCTGAAGAAAATGTAAATAATAGTAATAATGTAAACGGACACTATGAGTCTCAAGAAACCTCAAACTCAAATGAAAACCGTACGAAATCAATTATAAAAGAAGATAAATATTCAGAAGTTAGTGATGCATTCAAAATGAAACCAACTGATTTGGTAATACCAAATGAGTAAGTACTTAAAAAAAAGAAACATTTTGTTATTCAATTACTTGTGGAATTATTTGATTTAAAATTGAAGTTATACTAAAGATTGTTGACAGTTCTAGAAATATCAATTTCTGATAGATGATGGGTGATGCTAAAACTTTAACTGATTATTCATTAAATGTTTTAGTTATTAGTCTCAGAAGGGGTTTTGTGGAGGTTGTAGTAATTTCAATAGTTGAGATCATAAGATCATGGTGGTCTAGCTTCAATTGACTCATGATCTCAACTATTGGTTTTAGTTATTAGTTAAAAGCTATACGAAAATATTTCAAATATGTATGATGCCTATTTTTGTTAAGGATTTTCTACATTATAAATGGGAAACACTCATTCAGACTCAAAACAAAAAAAATAGAGTGGTTCAGCTAAGATATCTCTTCGACTATTATATTGTCAGGGCTATTTAACATTGAATATCCACTGATTGTTTGAAAAACCAATCATTGACAATCTCCTCCATGTTTTGTTGATGAGAATAATTTTTGAAGATGGTAATGGAGTTAACATAATGTTTAATATGTTATTCTTATTGAGAAAATAAATTTAGAATTGTAATTGGATCCGAAGGTTAGCCAAAGATACCATGGAAACTCGATAAGACTATTTACCTATGATAATGTATTCTATCACGTGATAAGATTGATTTTAAATTGAAATGTACTAAAAAAACATAAAATAAATAAGAAACCAATTCGGGATAACAATTTGACAACGGGTATCAATGGCTTAATGGTTAAAGCGTCCAGAACTCAGCTAGCCACTAAGTAACAGATACGAACCACGATCCACTCTGGGTTTAGCAATCAAATAGTATCGCTTGACTTCTTCACATATTTAGTATAGCTCAGAATCGTTTAAACAAGCATACACTTGACAAGTGAGTTCCATTAATCCAAAGCTTGAATAAGTTATGGTTTTTAAAATAAAAGAATAAAATAATGGGAGGGAGAACTGTTGAATAGGTTTATTTGGTAAACAATATACATGACAAAAACATTAGGGATGCAGATGTCGTAAATATGCACTCTTTGTCCGTCGCAACCAAATAACCGGTGTTAGTAAGATACCCTGTTACTCCACTTTTAATTATATGGAAGCCTCAAGTATTGCGTTTTGGATGAATAAATTGGTAGACTAATGAATTTACACTAGAACTCGCTTACATCACAATAGATCTTACATAATTTCAATGTAATTTATAAAATTGTAAGATAATTTTTATTGTCTAGAAAAATTCGCGATCACTTAGTGCATTACATAATGCTGTTTATTTACTTTGTAAAGAATAGATCAACATACTTATTCTGTGATATATATATATATAGTTTTGAGTCTTGTGTTGGTTTTCAATTCACACCGACAAATTCATCTTACAATTGGGCGGTAAATTTAAGTGAAATGTCCAGCATCTTTCTAGTTCATATATCTTGCTTACTTACGTTTTAAATCCATTATATGAGTGAAATTTTCGAATTATTAAAATTGCTGGGAAAAACAACCCATCTTCCATTTACCTTCGTAACAATAAAATCTTTTTATTAAGAACACTTAAATTTAAGATTCACTGTAAGTATGATGGGATGGTCTAATAAAATTCAACTAACCAGCTTTTCGATTGGTCAATACTATTGTATGCTATTGCTGATAGCATAGTAATAACGCTAGAATGTAGGTAATTGCTCTGTTATGAAATGATGACTAGTTAGTGCCTGAATTGAAAGTTTAGAAATCCAGTAGAGAATTATGAAAATTTTACGAGTTTTTGACTGGTGCCAAACAGTCTCATACAGAATTCAATTTTAAAAGTGAACTTCTAATTACTTTACGATGTTTAATAGTTTTTCTTTACATGTATTAACCACTCACATACACCATGTGTATTCAACTTTAGTCTCTCCCTTGTTTTATGGAGGGATGAAACTTGTTGAGTTAATTGTCTAAAATGTCCGATTGCTTCAGTATGAAAGCTAAAATTCAACCATATTCAAATGAAAACTGAGGTTGACATATGCTTTAATTCGTGATGAGGTTATTCAGTACTAAAGCACATAAAATCACAGTAGTTAAGTTCCCAATTCAACTGTCTCCTATTTTATACCATACAATGTTGGATATTATTTATTTTATTGTTGAGAATGAATATTGAATAGTGACTTGAAAATAATGACTCTACATTGATCATTGACAATCATCATAAGAATTTACCTGGATACTCTGAACTATTGTACATTTTTCAAAATACAAATCTATGGAATTTATTACTATTAAAGCTTTTACTACAGGTTATAAATAGGCAAGTTAAACGACATTAATCACACTCGTTTATTGGTTTCTTAAGACTAAAAAATCTTCATGATAACGATTAGTCAACGTTTCTTTAGATAATACATAAACTGTGCATTGAAATCACCACTTCTAATGAATTGTAGTTTCAAATTTTGTCAGTCCATTTATAGTGACTTATTCATTTCATTTGATAATTGTAATTTAGCTGCCAATCAATATCGAAACGTAAACAATAAGAATAAATATTTCAAAAAAAATATGTGGTATCAATTTTACTCTATTCATGATTACAATCTCGGTGTTTCTAGTTGTGTATAATTCAATCAAAGTCATCACGCGTTTCACTGGTATGATTGAGTTTACTTTTGATTGTCTACATCTAGTGTGCGAAATATATTTAAATGTGTTATTTGCACATTCATATGCTATGCGAATGAAATCACTTGACTGAATTGCTAGTTTCCTTTTAGTCGCGATTCACAATAACCATTCAATGATGGCTGGTTGGCCGTAAGAGCATTTTTAAAAATAACAAAATCCATAAGTTGAATAGAGTCGTGTTTAAAAGTATGTTTGTAAACGGACGTTATATTATTTTGTGGTTAGTTCTATCATCAATTCATTTCATCAATCATAAAGTGAAACGTATACACAATAACTGTTCAAATCTGTCTAATTTATACTTCATAGTTTTTCTTGCTCCATTTTATCGACAGTGCTTTGTATGTTAAAAGACTCTATGTGTAAGCCAGTCTGAATGTCATGGTAACATTTAGCTGCGTACTTTTAGAACCTGTTAAATGTCATGTAATTTAATTATCCAATATCTTATAGTTTGATATCCTTGAAGATGAACTCGTTTCCTAAATGTTAAATGAACTAGATCTCTTATCTTGTTGTTGAATACATGAAATGTTCAATAACAGCAGATTGTAAAAATGTTACACAAGAGTTAGGTCAAGTCGAAAAAGTTACAGATTGGAATCGCTTTAGATTAATTACATTCACACGTTCGCCTAGTTAATTTATAACTAGTTAACAGTACAAACAATTCTTGTAATTCTTCTACATATTTCTATAAAAATGGTATAAATTATGAAATATGAAAGATTGGTTTAGCGAAGAGTTCTGTTTTCGGCGAATTTATCTCCAAAGCCTTTAACAATAAAACTATTATTAGTTTCCCTGACTTAGAAGAGATAGCGTTTTGATACGTTTGTTTATTAACCTCACTGTTACCATGTTTAACAGAATTTTATTATCACTATTATAGTAATTATTATCATTTTGAAAAAAGTATACATATTTGCGGTTTTACAGCTTTGAAGATGAATTCGCCGAAAACAGAACTCTTCGCTGAACTAATCTTTCTTATTTTATCTCTCATTGGGTATATTCCGTTTATATAAATTATAGACATATGTTTTACAACAGTGAATACTAATATTTCTACATTATAAAAGCAGCTGAAAGAAATCCATGAAATGAATGAATTCATATTATATAGTGTATGGTTTATTTCTCCAGCTTTATGAATTGTTCTTGGGATATTATTATTCATCTTAATTAGTAATAATTTTATTCACATATTTTATGTTAGTCTTTAAATGTGTTGGATACAGCTAGGCAAAAGTACTCATAGGTTTAACGTTTATTGGACTTACCTTCTAATCTCAGTGTGGTTAACAGTAACCAAAAAGAGTGATAAGAATTAATCTAATCCGAAAAAAAAAACAGGAAAGACGAAAAGTTTAATCGACAAGAATATCTTAAATATTGAAACGAAACAATCAAGCTTATCTGAATACAAAGATTAGTGGTCAAAACAGTTACTGTATACCACGTGCACCGAATAATAGATATGGCTATCAAGCGTTCTAGTCAAAGATGAGAGAAGAAATAAGGTGGTTTCAGTTTGTGAAAACTAAAAGTCTGCAAGCCTTTTATTAGCTCTGGTTAGTTGTGTTTGATAGTAAAGAAATTTCTTTAATAAGCATGAATATGATTTCCTTACTTCTTTAAATGTATACACTAAATTAAGGTCATGAGCATATCGAAACTGTAATGTTTGACCGGGCTTTACAAAAACAACCATGATTCAATCAATAATATAAGGGTTTGCTTGAACTATAATTGATTTGAACCACGTATTGACTTTAAAAATTAAGAAGCATTGGACATTCTTTTCGCTTTAGTATGAGACTCTTCAGACACACCGATCTATGATCTCACCGAAGATCGAACCCAGGACCTTTCAGGTCTCCCAGCGAACCCTTGAATTCTACACCACTGGGCCTGAACCTAACTGTTTACACTCCTAATATCAACCACTTTGCTATATGATTGAACTGTGTTTCAGAAAGAAAAATGAAAAAGTCTCACCCAGAACTCTCTATTTTTGCAATTATTTAGTGATCGGTGATGCAAATAATATTGGTGTTTATCGACACTAAAAATATCGTATAAATATCAAACTGTTACTCTTTGAATTGAACTCTATTCACAAGAAAGGAAACAAATATTTCTAATGGCCAAACTTGGGGCAAATTGTTTTTTAAACTTAGACAAGGTGAAATTTATTAGAACTACTTAATTTATCGTTAAATATAAACTTGTATTCAGTATTTCAGTTTATAAATTTATATTATTGAAAATTATTTGTATAAATGTCAGTA